CCCCTGGCTGAAACTGAACCCTCTCGGCTAGAACTGATCCCCCAGCTGAACTGAACCCCCTCAGCTGGAACTGACCCACACCCACACCTCTCTGCCCCTGCTCCTGCCGTGTCCCACCTGTGTGCATGGCCCCTGGGGCTGCACCCTTCATTGCCCCCCTGGCCACACACACACCCAGCACCTGTGGGTGTTTTGGGGTTTATACCTTACATCCATGTCCCCTTATACACAGCCTAGTACTGCTTGTGTGCCCACATTCCCAGTCCCAGCCAGCATGAGCCCATATACCCCTCAGTCTCCTCACACCCATTCAGCTTTCACCCACTCTTACACCCACTGATGCTGCTTCACACACAGAATCATTCCTGCATCCCACGTCCACACCCCAGGCCTCCCCTTTCCATTTCTACATCCCTTCTCCTTTATCACACACTCCTCAGCCCTCCTCATGCTCCTCATACAGCTACATGCCCCTTGAGTACAGTTAATAGAACATGAGGCATATCCTGCTCTGCCCTGTCCTCCCATGTCCCAATCCCTTCAAACTCATACTGTGTTTCTGGTCGCCATCACACACAGGGACTACATTCCTCTCCAGCCGTGACTTCCCTCTAAACCCCTTGTTGCCTTCCAACAACCATCCCTGTCACTCAGGCACTGGACACTGCAGTGTCCCTTCGAGTTCCCCAGTCCCTTCTCCCTCCTTTGCTCTTCAGGAGCATATTCCTTTCCACATACCAAGGCCCCTTCTACTGTGCAACCCTTGGCTCTGTGGCTTGCTCCCCATCCTCTCTCTTTCCAGACCCCATCACTCTCTTACCTACAACCACCAGCACTGTGACCCCAGCCCCTAGGACTTGCCTCTGTGCTGCAGCAGTCTCAGGCTGGCTGGCTTCCCCTCTGGACACCTTGCCAGCACCCAAGGGGCGCCAAGGAACTGTCTCCATCAGCAGTTTCCTGGAACTGTGGCTGAGAGCAAAGCTAGGGTGGATGGAGCTTCGGGAACACCCAGCACCAGGAAGGGCGAGAACTGCCTCACACCATCCTGGATTAGAAGGAACAAATGCAGAGGAAGCACCACACCATGGGCCTGGCACAGGGCATGAGACTAATTATTACCCCTCAGCACCAGACTCACCTGCTGTAGGAAAAGGAGCCAGGGACATTTTACAGGGAACAGAGCCAATCTCCTCAGGCTGGCAGGCAGGCTGAATTAAGCGCTTCCTCATGCATGAGAGAGTCCTGCAGGCATTACTAGCAATTACCCGGGCAGCACTGCTAGACTGGGTGAAGAATCTGACATTAAACTGAAAAAATTCAAGGGAAGTCCGCAGGTGAGCAGAAGTTCTAAGAGGCATGATGCTCTCACGTTTCCACATCAGCTCTTGAAAGATTGCCACTTCCTCGTGCTCAGAGCTCTGTGGTAAAAGTTGGTGTACCTGGAAAGAAGAATCCAGGTCAGGAACGGAAAAGTTTAGTTTAAGATGCTTCTTCCTGTGTCAGAGGTAATCTTTAAAGTATTTTTGCAACACCTCCCTGCCCCAAAACCAGGCACATATGAAAGAATCCCAGTCTGCCACTGACAGGGCTACTCTCTTGTCCACCTCCCAGCACAGGTGGATACACCTCTGAGCGGTATTGTACACGAGACACCTTTGTTACCAAAACAGCCATTTTCAGTAGTGCTGAGCTCCCAGGGGAGCACATACAGCCCAGGGGAGGGGTGCCACATTGCCCCCAGGGCAGTAGTAGATGAAATCTCATTGTTACTGCTGCCTTTTCTTTTGAAACAGGCCAAGTGACCAAATAGACTCAATAGACCAATTTAACAGCTCACAGAGGCCTTGTGCTGTATGACTCACTGAATGAATGGAAGAACACTGAGTCAAAGAAGTTTCAGTAGGCAATTGTGCTGAGCACTCCAGGACCACAAGGAAGAGTTTCTGAACAGCCTGTTGGCTTATGTCTGCATCTAAAAATTGTAGCATTTATAGCATTGCTTCTCCTTACAGAGTAAACAGGCTCCAGACACTCTACAGCCAAAAGCAGAGGTACTTTAGTTCCATCACTTACACCTTTATGCAACACAAAACCATTATCTTCTTCTAAAAGGCTCACACTATTTCTAACTGAGGTTATGGGCTTGATACAGAAACACCAGGTGATATCCAACCATTCATCCATGTCAGATGGGAAGTCAGACAAGTTGATTCCTACAGCCTTAGAAAAAACACTGCTTACATTGCTGAAAAAGATGGGTAGCAATGATTGCACATTCAAGGTTGTTCTCAAAGGCATTCTAGACTTCCAGCCAAATAGAAATCTTGACTCATAGCAACAGAAAGCATCCAGCCCTCCCTGTGCTTAAACAATGCAATTAATGGTCCTTCAAAAAGTACACACTTACCTGCCCATAAGGATGCTGCACCATGCCAGAACTCCACCTTGGAGAGTATCAAGTGTCCTAATTTGTGTGTTTGTATTGGTCCTAATCAAGTGGTCTCATTTTTTTGCCACTCTGTTCTTGGCACCTGTAAAACCACCCGACTGCACACACCAGTGAGGCCTGAAGGGTAAGGATATGTGGCCATAGAGCAACATTCTCCCCTTGAATCTTAACCCCTGGGTAAGAAAGCAGCTCATACCATGAAGAAGTTGGAGCAACTGAGGAAGGAATGTGGAGAAACCAAAAGTGGAATTGTTACTTGGCACAAAGAACCCAAGAACTTCTAGCAAAACTGTTGGAGAATGGCTAAGAGAGCGGGGACATAATCCTGGGAATGCACCTGGGGAAGGCTAAAAAGAGCAAGGACACAGTCCCCTGGGAACGCACAGACACAGTCCTGGGAACACACCTGGGAATGCAGTGTACAAGCAAGGCTCTGGAGATAGTAACTTATATATAGATAGGGAGTAACTCAGCTTGGCAGATGGTAGGGGCAAGTTGTCCTTGAAGGTGAGGAGTCGGGTCGGCCACTTGCTTCCCTGCGCGGAACTTTCCCTTTCCCAACACAAAACTGAGCCATTTACAGCACTGCACATTCAACTTATTTTTTTAAGCCATCTTTACATTGCAAAAGGAAAAAAAAAATCCGAGATTTTAAAATTACCCAGTCTTGCAGCTGGTTTGTAAATGGTTTTACTAAGAGCTCTGTAGCTGTCCTTCCCCCTCTCTGCCAGCTTCCCTGCGCGGAACTTTCCCTTTCCCAACACAAAACTGAGCCATTTACAGCACTGCACATTCAACTTATTTTTTTAAGCCATCTTTACATTGCAAAAGGAAAAAAAAAATCCGAGATTTTAAAATTACCCAGTCTTGCAGCTGGTTTGTAAATGGTTTTACTAAGAGCTCTGTAGCTGTCCTTCCCCCTCTCTGCCAGTTCCTACTCCCCAGCATCAGGAGGGCATGATGCAGTGTCTAACAGTCATTGTCGTGACAAATGGCAACAGGTTTAATTCGATTTAAGGCTCATCTTTGCAACGTAATCCTGTACAAAACCAAATCTCACCCATTTCTAAGTTCAGAAATTTTAATACACCGTTCTCTAGTTGTAAGGTCATGTGTTATCACTGAACACTTACACTGATTCAATGCTGTGCTGACTTCTTGTCTATTGTGCTCTTAAAACCTCTTGAGGAGAAAGTAGCAGTGAGTTTAGCTTACATGTGAAGCCCTGCTCAGACATGCACCACAACTGGAGACATACAATTCCAAGTCAAACAAAGCAAACAAGCCAGTAACACCAGGATAGTTTTTATTTGCTCCCTGAATTAAATATTGGCAGATACAGAAAATTCAGATACCAACTATTTCCCCAACATTTACAAGACTGAGTTTGCAACGTCAGAAAACAAGGACATTTATGCACAATCCTGGCAACTGATAGTGTGAGTGCACAAGATTGCCCTGCCTGAACGTCAGTTTTTAAGAGGCAGTATCCCTGGTCTCCAGCATCCAACGCTGTCCCCTCACTGACAAAATCGTGGCACCACGGAACGGCCAAGTAAATATCCTGAGTGGGCAGCTCCAGTGCATTTCCCCCTGCAAAGGATTTATTCCATGCTCCTCCTGAAGGGGCAGAGGCAAGGTCAGCACATCCAACAAATAACCCACCTGTGCACACAAGGTGACTCTCACTGTGCCCTTTTTGCTCTGTTCTTTGAGAGCAGGGAAGAACACAGCACAGTGACACTTCCAAGAAAGCTGTTCTTAAAGACCTTACTGCTGCCACACATTGTCTGTGCTGGCAACAAAGTGCCAGAGGCACACTCATTCCCTGCTGCCTGCCGAGCTGCTCTGCGGCTGTGGAACTTCACAGTGGGTTTTGCAGCACTTTCCCTGCTGTCTGAGGGAAGGGAAGTTTTCAAATAAATAAAAGGACATGAAGTAAGCAAGCTTGTATAACTGAAATCATGTGGATACACAGACCACGTGCTGTTGGAGGAAATACCATTTGCTCCTCTTCACACTGGAGCAGAACTTAGGGACTTGCTTCCTCCTCAGAGCAGCTGGTGCAGTCAGTGCCTCCAGAGCAAAACACAAGTGTGGTTGGTGCAGTGGGAGAAGCCAGGGAACTCTGCTCCCTTTTTATAAAAAAAATAAGCAGACATTTTTATAAAATATGTCTGCTGAGCTGGGGTGACAGAAGACAGATCACAGGTAAAATGTGGTGACCTGCACAGCATTTCATGGCCAGTGCACATCCACTGTTAGCCAACTCCCACTGGGGGAACTGAGCACACATCAATCCCAGTTTTCAGAAGGGGAAACACATGGTTTTACCAACTCTACTGTGCAACCTTGTGTTAGAACCTAGCATGGCAGATGGCAAGAGATTTTCCCTTTTGGAAAGATCACAGAAGTGCCTTCTAGGCTGCAAAATGCCTTGGGCATCCTCAGACAACTGCATCTTCTCCAGGCACAGGAACTCCTGAATCCCAGTCCTGCACTCCAGATACTAATCCACA